TCTGTATTAAGTTGTGCTGAAACTGTAAAATGCACACTAGATATCCAAGATTTAATGTGAATGAAATAATGTAAACTATCACGGTAATTTAAAAATATGGATTACATGTTGAAGTGATAATGTTTTGAATATATTGGGTTAGATAAAATGGATGTCAAGACTAATTGTACCTGTTGCTCTTTGCTTTTATAAATGTGGCTACTAGAAAATTTAGAATTACATGAATGGCTTGCATTATATTTCTGTTTGACGGTGTTGCTGTGCCATTAAGTCAGAATCATTCAAACTTCAATGATAATAACATATAGCATTTATAAGATGCTTAGAACACCCCAGGCTCTTTACATATATGATCTAATTTTGTATCTTCAGTTGTTTTTATTTTTTGATTTTGAGCCTGCATTATTATTATTATTATTTAATTTATTTATTATTTTACTTTACAATATTGTATTGGTTTTGCCATACATTGACATGAATCCACCATGGGTGTACATGTGTCCCCCATCCTGAACCCCGCTCCCACCTCCCTCCCCAACCCATCCTTTCTGGGTCATCCCAATGCACCAGCCCTGAGCAACCATCTCATACATTGAACCTGGACTGGCGATTCGTTTCACATATGATAATTTACTTGTTTCAGTGCCATTCTCCCATATCATCCCATCCTCGCCCTCTCCCACAGAGCCAAAAGACTGTTCAATACATCTGTGTCTCTGGAATCTTAAGTTTTAAATAGGAAAAGGGTGAAGAAAAAATTGATAGCCTCTTTTCCTCACTGTTTCCCATAATAGTTTTTGTGGGGATCTTTTCAGAGTTTGTTTATGGGATATATTACCACATTTAATTCTCGTGCTAACACTATGAAATAGATACTGTGATAATTCCCATTTAACATACAAGGAAACAGAGACTTAGAGGTTGAAGTAACCAGCTTGTGGTCCTTTGGCTAAAACATGGCAAAGCCAGGGATTGACTTCAGGGATTTCTGAAAGCAGAACATCTATGAGCCGATTAAATACTTTGGAAACTTTCTCTGTGACCCTGGGAAAGTCTCTGTCTTTCTGGGCCTCACATTTCTCATGAAGTGATTTGACTCTGGATGCTGCTGGGGAGCTTTTCTAGCTCTTCAAATGTAGGAGAGCCCATTCAACTCTTCCCATTTTGCTTCTCTTCTCCCTCTTGCTTCTGACCTTGCGCCCATCTCAGAGGGCCAGGACCAGAGGACCAAGAAGGTGGATTGAATGATCAGAAAGCAGGATGGAGGAATAGTTAGCAGGGGAGGGAGAAGGACCTGGGGGAGAAGGAAGAGAAAGTCTACCAGTGATGGAAAATTCTCCATGAGTTCAGTACTGTTGTGCTGGGTGAATACCCCACAGAGATGTTCACATAGAACACAGTCTAAGACCTTGACACAGACCTGCCCTCGGCCTCAGCAAAGGTCTGCCTTTTATCTTGAAATGCGAAAACTGTGGAGAGGGTCTAGGAATGCAGTGAACATGCACAAAGGTTTGGAAAAAGACTTTTCATGGAAGGACCAAATCGAGGCAAGGTGAAGTTCATACAGACTAGCAATTAGGTGAATGGGTTCTGAGGCAGACTGGGGTTAAAGCGGGATTTTGCCCCTGACCAGCTTTCTGATACTAGGCAAGTTCTAAGTCTCCCTAAGCTGCAGCATCCTTATCTTGAAATGGGATGATAACTGTACTCACCTCTTGGGTGGTGGTGGGGATTAAGTGATACACGGCAGTAACAGCTGACACGGTCTGAGTGTTTACTACCTACCAGGCATTTTACCACATGTAGATTGTGTTTTTATCTTCCCTTGTAGTTCAGTCGGTAAAGAGTCTGCCTGCAATGCAGGAGCCCCGGGTTCAATCCCTGGGTCAGGAGGATCCCCTGGAGAAGGAAATGGCAACCCACTCCAGTACTCTTGCCTGGAGAATCCCATGGACAGAGGAGCCTGGTGGGCTACAGTCCATGGGGTCACAAGAGTGGACACGGCTGAGCGGCTAAACTACCACCACCAGGGATTCTGCGTGTACATAAACACATCAGTGCTCGTTGGGGCTGAGCCTGCAAACTACTACTAATACAATGAGTGGGGCTCTCATCACCATTTTTACTGTGTCTAGGAAAGATCCTTTGGCTGCATTCTTGTCCTGCTGAGTGGCTCCCGGTGAAGTTACTTAACTTTTCTGAGCCTCGGGTGACTCGTTTATAAAATGAGATAATTAAAGCAGATGATCTGTAAGGCCTTCTCAACTGTAAAATACTGTGCAGTTCTGGAGATAGAATTTATTTAGTGTTGAGAAGGCTGAGGGGGATACTAAAATATGAACTTCATATATATATATAAATGTATATATGATTCTTATAAGTTTGAAGGATGGTGAACAGCTGTTCTCTTTTGGCTGAGGACAGGGCATGAGGCAACACATTTTAATTGTTTGAGATTAGACGTTTGGAAGCCTTTCCTGACTTGTGAGAAAGACTAATGTGTCATTGGAGCAGACTCTAGAGCTGCACACTTTGAACTCATCAAGGCAGACGGTTGGCTATTTTTCTGACACTGAGACGTAACTTCATCACACAGGCCTTCCCTGAAGTCTTGATCTTAAATAGATACCCAACCCCACACCGCCCCCAGCACCATACTCTTCCTTCATATTTCACCCTGTTGTTTTCCTCCATAGCACTCATGACCCTTTGCATGTTTATTTTGTACTTAGCGCTTAATGTCTGTCCTTTTAGATTGTAAACCATGTAAAAGCTGGATTGGTCATTATTTGGTTCATCTCCTGTGAACCTGGAGTGATTGTCACATAGCAGGTGCTCATAAATATTTGCAGAATGAATAGATGGGTGAATGAGTTTCAGGGGTGGTTGGCTTGGCGGTAGTGCTTCTTGATAGAAGTGAACCCTCTGCTTGCCTTTTTTGGTAAGAAAAATGCCAAAGAATATTATATATTATATTATATATATATAATATATATAATATATATTATATTATAATATATATTATATATATTATATATTATATTATCTATATAAGTATATTATCTAATATACTGTTTCTCTTTCCCATCATCATCTCCTGGGGTCTGGTCACACGTGCGTGTGAGTTTCTTCAGTTTTGGTCGGCTGCCCTAGCGCCCTTTCTTGTGGGCTGATCGGCCTGCATCTGGTTCTAGTGGAGGAGACAGAAGGGGTAGGTGGAGTTTCGTTTGAGGGAAAATAAAGCCCAAGGGCTTCCCTGGTGGCTCAGATGGTAAAGAATCTGCCTGCGGTTTGGGAGACCTGGGTCGGGAAGATCCTCTGGAGGAGGGCATGGCAACCCACTCCAGTATTCTTGCTGGAGAATTCCCATGGACAGAGGATCCTGGCAGGCTACAGTCCATCGGGCTCACAGAGAGTTGGACATGGCTGAGCAACTTAGTACACCCATACAAAGCCCAGTGGAACATGGCTTGGTTGTCCTGGTTATTTCCATTTGCTCCCCCAGATCTGCTTTTTGTTGTTCTTCGCACTGCCCTGTGCCCCCGGAAGTTGACCTCAGTGGCTTTATCAGTGAGGTCCCTTGCCCTCTGGCTTCCAATTGAGGTTGGCCAATGGGAGGACAGAGCAGGAAGACGAGGGAAGGAGACAGAGGTTGGGCGTGTGTGCCTGGGTTCTCTGGCCCACGGGCTCACAGAACTCCTACACGAGAGCTTGCCCAGGCTCTGTCCAGGTCTTGCAAATAGGCTCTCTCTGTCCCTCCAGGAACAGCAATGCTCATAACTCCCTACCATTAACTCCCCTGGGTGCTTCCCCACTCCTTGTCCCCTCATTCCTGTCCGCTCTTCTGTGGATAGTCCCCACACTGGTCTCCATACAGATGGGCCATTGGTTCCCCTGACCATTTGCTGGGGCATCTCACCCTGTGGTCTTGCCCCATCTCTCCTGAGAGAGGGTTGGGACCATACATCTAATTGCAGGGTCCGGGGTATGAGATACAGGGTCCAAAGAGAGGGTTGGAGGGATCTTTTGTAGTCAGTCTGAGTGCGATCACCTGTTCCTGAGGTTTCTGTTTTTAATGAAACAACAACAACAACAAACTGACCAAAAGACCTCCACCCATCCTCTGTGTAGGAGATGGGAGGACTTCTCGAGAAAGGGGGTTTCTCTCATGGGCAGGGCCAGCTCTGGTTGCCACTGCTCAGGTGGCCCCATGACCTCCAGCCCCAGGAAACCAATCAAACTCTGATGTCTTCAGAACACATGTTCCAACGTGTGGGCACTGCAGCTCCTGGCTGCTGATTGGCGGCCTGTTAGGTATCCGCTCCTTCATTCTGTTTCTTCCCTGGGCTTCAGAGGCCTTTACTTCCCTGGTGAGTTGATTAGAACAGCCTCTCTGAGGTTGAAATAGCTTTTCACAGAGCAGACTGGAGCTGGGCAGCCAGCATGGCCGCGAGGAGGTCATAGAGTTGACAGATGAGAGTTGGCATGGAGGGAGAGGATAATAAGACTTGAGGCCAACACTGGTGCACTGCTTTAGAGTTTTCAAAGTGCTTCAATGTGAAGGAACACATTTATGCTCCACAAAATGGCCTGGCTGGGGGGCTGGGCATTGTCACCCTCACTTTGTAGATGTGCAAAGAAGGGCTGGGGGGGGGGTGGTCCTTGAATGTCTCATCCAAAGTCACAGGGTCGGAGAGTGGCGGAAGCAAGAGAGAGACCCTGCCCGTCTGACCCTGTGTCCATCAGGTGTCCCTCCTACCCAGCCTCCACTGTCTCTGAGGGAGCAGGCAGGGGTGGGCTCTGGCTTGGAGACTGGGAACTGGAGACGGAAAAGCTGGACCTGACTCCAGTGTTTGCGTTCGGCCAGGAGGAGAGCATGCAGGCCGTCTCAAGTCCTTCTCAGATGCTGTGGTTCCTGCTTGCCCTCAAGGGCCCCCCGGCTCCTGTCGCTCCTGTCCTTCCTGTCCTGAGTGGGCTGACGCTACTTTTCTGTTTTTCAGAAGTGGAGCTGCCCCTGAAGAAGGATGGGTTCACCTCAGAAAGCACTACCCTGGAAGCCTTGCTCCGCGGTGAGGGAGTGGAGAAGAAGGTGGATGCCAGGGAGGAAGAGAACATCCAGGAAATACAGGTATTTCTGTGCTTGTGGGGTAGCTGGTGGGGGAGGCGGTGACCCCGAGCATCACCACCCTGCCTCTAGAACTGCAGTCCCAAGTTGGGGCCTCCTCTCCAGGGCCAGGACTGCATCTCCACTGCCCCGAGGCTCCATTGCTGGGAAGCTGGCCTCCCCGTTCATCCACTCAAAATGGACTTTGGGAGCCTGTGTGTGCCAGACACTGTGCTAGGCCCTGGGGACACAGAAGTGAGCAAGACTGACCGAGTCTTCACCCTGGTGGGGCGCCAGCAGCAGAAAGCTTGGTTTTACAGGAGCCAGCCTCCCGGGGAGTTCCCCCCCAACCCCTGCCTCACGCCCCATCCTCCCCCGCTCTAGTTCACTGGCCACCTTGTTCTTCCCCTGCCCTGCCACTCCTCCTTCAAGGCCAGTTTAGAGGTCACCCGCCCCCTGCCAGGGAGGTTTGGTGGTTCCTGTCCTCATGTGTCCACCACCCTCTGTGCACAGCCTGGCTAAGGCTGTCACCAGGCAGGTCACCATGTAGCGTTATAATGGTCACTCTGTTCTTCTTTATGTTTCTTGAGTCTTCATTGTTGGCACGTTGGAATAATATTAATTAATACAAATATGAAATACCAGTTTTTAATAATTAAGCATAATGAGATTATTAAAATTAAGTCATGTTTATACTTTACATTAAAATTTAATATTTTATGTTGTACACGTATATGGCTATAAAATTACATCTTTATTATTAATTTTGCATTCAATTTAATATTCATGTACTAATTTATTAGCATGGTAATTAAATGACTACCAGTTACATGTTTGGTTTGCTTTGTAAGTACCGCCAGCATGGGGAATCTGTCCAGTTGGGGATGGGGCTGTCGTGTTCACCATTGAACCCTTGGGGCCTTGCATGAGTCCAGCAGAGTCAGGTCGCAATAAAGGCATTGAATGAGTCCATGGTCTTCTCTGCCATTCCTGCCTTCAGATAAATATGTGCTAAGTCGTTTCAGCTGTGTCCGAATCTTTGCAGACCCCATGGTCTATGGCCTGCCAGGCTCCTCTGTCCATGGGATTCTCCAGGCAAGAATACTGGAGTGAATTGCCATTTCCTTCTCCAGGGGATCTTCCAGCCTCAGGGATCAAATCCGTGTCTTAAGTCTTCTGCAGTGGCAGATAGGTTCTTTACCACTAGCGCCACCTGGGAAGCCCCAAAAGAGAACAGGCTCTGCTCTATCTAGAGCCTCAGCAATTAATCGCCAGGCGCCCCTGTCCACGGGATTCTCCAGGCAAGAACTCTGGATGGTCGAGTCTCTTCTGTTTGGTCGTCACAGCAGGGCTTCTCAGAGTTACAGCCCTAGTAAAGATCCTTGCTGATGCAAACCTTTATTTGTCTGACACACCTTGGAGTCGTCTCCGACCCCTGTCTTTCTCCCATACCCAGTATCCGTTCATCAGGTATCCTGTCCACGGCTCCCTTAACGCAAATCCAGAGGGTAGCTCTTCTCCCCATACGTCCTGCAGCTGCCCTTGTCCACGCTCTCACCTCTCCCATCTGAACTGTTGCTGTTGGTTTCTGAGTAGCCCCCTGCTGATGACTGACAGGGGCCCTTCCCTGTGTGCAGAGCCCTGCACTGGTCCCTGTTCTCCCGAGTAAAAGTCACGTCCTCTCCCTTCCCTCTGAGTTGCTGCTTCCTCTTCCACGCTCACTCGGCTCCAGGCACCCCGATCGTTTGCCACTCACTCTTACACCAGGCACGCCCCACCTCTGGCCGTGCTCTGGCTGCTTCCTCTGCCTGCAAAGTCCTCTCCCCAGACATCTGCTCAGCTCTCACCCTCACCTTCTTCAAGTTCAGCCCCTGTCTCTTCTGCTCTGTGAAGTCTCCCCTGACCGCTGAATGTAATATCACATCCTGTGTCCTCCCCACCCACCAGCAGTCCCCATTCTCTTACTCTGCCTTCCTTTTCTTTTTCCCCATAGGTTTTATCATCTAACATAACTTATAATTTACTAATTTATTATCCTATTGTTTGTTTTCTGTTTTTGTTTCCAACAGAATGTAAACTCTTCGAGGGCAGAAATCTCTTGTTTATCTTGTTTGCACCTCTTTTGTATCTCAAAGCCTAAACAGTGTCTGGCACATAGTAGTTCAATTCAGTTCAGTTCAGTCGCTCAGTCGTGTCTGACTCTTTGCGACCCCATGGACTGCAGTAGACACACAATAAATATTCATTGCGTGGATGCACGAGTGAACAGATTCCTGTGGGTTGCCATCCCCAGTCCATCCTCTCTCCATGTCCTGCTTTGATAGCTGACCTTTCATCCCCGAACACAACTCTGCTTGTATCACACCCTTGTTTAAAAAGCTCGACCTAACATGCTTTTGTTTACTGCTAAATAAATGCAAAATGATGAGTGTTATCTTCTTGGGCCTCCTCTCTCGGCTCCTAACCTAGTTTTCAGGCTTATTTCCCACGATTCCTTTACTCCCTCTGTTCTCCAGCCTTCTTCCCTCCATGCCTTTGGTCATGCTGTGCCCTTTATCTGGCGAACCTTTTCTTCCATCACCACGTGTACAAATTCCTCCCATCTATTAGGCTCAGCCCCAATAGCACCTTCCCCGTGAAGCCTTTCTTGATCACACCCACCCCCTAGTTCTCTTTTTACCCCTGGCATTTAGAGCACCTAGTATTTTCTTTTTCTTCTTCTTCTTTTTTTACTCTTCATGTATTATACCCCATTTTTTTGACTTTTAGGTCTTTGAAGTCACCATCTGTCCCATCTGTAATGCCGGTTAAGAGTATTTTTGCGCAGTTAGTGTAATTTGACCAAGTCAGTGAGGGTGACAGAACCATTATCCAGAAGTCTTGATGCTCCAGTGATAGGCAACCCTTTCCTTTTTGAGCTGGAGATGAGTGTGAGTCCTTCTCGGGCAGCATCAGGCCAGTGTGCAGGTTGTCATTGTTGAATCATCATCATCGCCCTCATCCCTGTTGTAAACTGAAAGTCTACTGTGTGCAGAGCATGGGGCTGCCATCCGCTGTGCGAGAAGCCAAAACCAGGACCAAAAGCCAGATGAGTGTACATGTTTTTATTGACTTTGTTTATTAAAATAAAGTATGCATGCAGCAAATGGACTGTTTTGTTCATTTTCCTTTCATTCATTCATTCCACCAAAATTTATTGAGGGCCTCCTCTGAGCAGGCCTTGTGCTGGGTTCTGGGGAAACAGGGAAACCAAGGAGAGATCTGTCCTCACCTCTCATGCTTATATTCTAGTGTGACGTATAGATGGAAAGCAAGTAAACAAGTCAAATAGCTGCCTTTCAGGATAAGTGCCATGAAAAGAACAGAGTGCAGAGACTCAATCTAAGAGGAGGGACAGATTCTAGGTGGTGTCCTAAGGGAGACAAGGGCTATCCCCCAGTCCTGTGAGAGGAGAAGCTGTCAGCAAAGGGAGGGACCTGGGGAAGGGCTTTCTGGGTGGAGGAATGGTGCTCTTGAAGTTCTCATGATAGATCTGAGCTCATTGCACTGAAAGAACAGAGGCTGGTGTGGCTGGAGCAGGGTTTCAGGGAGGGAAGGGCCCAGGATGGGGCTGGAGAGGTGGGCAAGGCCAGACCTGGAGGAGACTCATGATTTCATGGGACATGAAAAAGCAAGCCATTCAAGTGGTTTTCACCAGGGCGGTGAATTTGTGTTTCCTAAAGACCTGTCTGGCTGCTGTGTGGAGAGGAGACTGGATGCAGGCCTGCAGTGGAAGAAGGGAAATCAGCTAGGAGAATTTTGCACTGTTCCAACTAGTGATACCGGAGTCTTTAAAGAAGAATTCCTCTGAAATGCAAAACAACAACAACAACAAATTCCTCCTTTTTAAGAAAAGCCAAAAAGCACAATTACAATCATTATCATCACCGTTAAGACTGTTTAAGAGTCTCAGGGAGAAAAGTTATTTGAAAACGTGTTTGTTTTCCAGGTAATACCCTTGGCCAGGGAATGCAGTCATGTCACGGGGGGTGAGCTGCGTCTCTAGCTGGACACAACTGCCCTGCTCTCCTGGTACAGGATGCCCCCTCTGCTTCCTGAGCTCCGAATACGAGTTCTGTCTGTGAGGAGCTCCTGGCTCCTCCTGTGCTGTGTAGGGAGGCATCTGGTGTCAGGGCCACGTCGCAGGAAATGCAGAAACACAGGAAACGCCGCTGTCACATGTGAGGCCCGAAGCTCAGACCAGGGGTCTAGAGATGCAGGGAGGCCGATGGGAAGAGGGCGGGAGAAGTCAGTTTCCTCCCAGACGTTGGGACTGTGCAGTGTGTCTGGGGACAGGTGCAACGGCCTTCCCCAGCTTTTGCCTTCTAACCCAGAGTCTATATGGTGGTAATAGACTCCTTCATAATGAAACAAATTCGAATGGAGTCAGATTTGCACTGAGATGCCAGAGGCAATGACCTTTAAAGTCAAGACACTCGGAACTTACCATGATTAAATGACTTCAACACCCAGGAAGTTTGCAAGGTGCCTCTACAAACAGCAACAGCACACCTTGCATTTATGCCACATCTTTTCACTGAAGCCTGCGGAGCACCTGGCTTGTCACTGTCCCGCCCGTGTTCCCCCTGATGGTTCAGGAAGCCAAGGTGCAGAGAGGCTGGGCTGCTTGCGCTGGGCCGCGACCAGCCTTCCCTAGCTGTGGGTCAGAGGTCGTGTCCAGCTGCTGCTGCTGCCTCTCTGTTAGGTGTCTATGGTTGGCCCAGAGAGCCTCAGTGCTCAGCTGATGCCTTCCCATATAAACCTGGTAGAGAAGCCAGAGAAAGATTTACGATACCTGTTTGGAGTTCTTTGGGAGAGTTTGGTTAATTAGCAACATCCTGACCACAGTGATGGGAATGGAACTCTCTGACAAGAAGGCAGTGGGAGAAGGTCACTGGAAACTCACCCTGGGCTTCCTGCTTTGAGGGCAAGCCAAGGGCATGGCCCAGGAGGCCCCTTGAACAGTGATGGTGATACTAGAAATC